GAAAATAATATTTCAAACCATAAATTAATGTTCGACAGCCAAATTAAAGAAACAATACCAATACAGGCTTACAGTTTAAATTCGACATTGTGTTGTCTACGATTAGACAGCTGATAACTCATTCCCGTACGTCGTAGCTCTATAATGACCTTTGCTTATTGTCACATGTGCGCCGCATTCGCGATTGTTACCGACGCCTGTTTGCAGGTCAGCCCACTACAGTTGTTATACATATCGAAAAACCGATAAACTTTTAGGCGAAAAAAACACTATTTTAGGCCCATTTTTGATTTTTTTTGCGATATTAGGTACAAACAGAAGCTTCTTATCCTAGGAAATATAAAATGGGAAATCATTGGAAGGTGGCACACTACCTTTAATATAAAAACTATGGGAGCCAACCTCATAACAAACTACCTTCAGTGAAAAGCTATGACTGGATGTGAGCAGTATTTTATATCACATTTCTATGCACACTGACAATATCTATGCAGTTATTTTCTTTGTAATATAATTCATATTTGCAAGGCTGCAAAAATTAGACATGGCGTACCATCGCACACGATTCTCATTATGTCAAAATAAGCAATCATAAAAAGATACCACAGAGTGACATGATAAGCATCAAAATCATTCAAGGCCATTGCATTCATATTTGTTTGAGATCTAATTCACGTTCAAACCATGACAACTTCATTGGCTTTGCAATGATTTACCAAAACTGACACTTCACTAAAGGACATGATGTGGAGTTTGCTAATGTAATAAATTGAATGAGGACTTTACTCCACAAGAAATCGTTCGGGTCGGAGCTTTCGAATTGTATTACAAAGCTTCGTCAGCGTATCGTAATCGGGTTCGGGGGTATCGGTCGCAAAATTGAGCTTTGTAATACAATTCGAAAGCTCCGACCCGAGCGATTTCTTGTGGAGTAAAGTCCTCATTCAATTTATTAACCCTCGCCGGCCGAGGGGGGGGGGGGTGCCGCCCCCCCCCCATAGGGTTTTTTCGCGATAGCTCCGAACACGCTGGCGATAGAGAGCTGAAACTTGGCATACCTGACCTTTGATCCAAGCCGGATCTTTTGACACCAACCGCATTTTTGGGTCAGGTCAGGTCACTGACCTATGACGTCATAAGTGAACCTCTGCACGGTCTCCAGATGTCGCAACTTCGCAACGCCCTCACTGCCAGAGGAGATGTCACAGGGAAATGAAACTTGCAGGATCTAGTATCCATTATGAGTCCCACAACTTGTATATCTCGGATTTTTCCTAAAGGTCATATGAGGTCAGGTCATTTTCGTGACCTCACCATTATAAGTCAATGGGGAAAAATGAAAACTGCTATTCTGGCGCCGGGAACGATCTCAAACTATCTCAAGCACACAGAATCGTGATTTGATGCACTCCTTGCAAGGTTAGATGCGTCATTTTTGCAATGTTGACCTTGCGTGACGTCATTTATGACGTCATCAAGGTCATATTAGTTTTTCGTCAATAACTCATGATCAAATTGAGCTAGCGAGTCGAGAAAGCCACCAATGGACTCAGGAAGGCCTGCCAAATCGAATGATATGCGACATGACCTCTTTCGACCAACTTCGTGACCTGGGGGTGCTGACCTGACCTTGACCTGAGGTCAACACCCCAAGTTGACCTGACCCGGACAAAAAGTATATCATTCGACGCGCCTGAGCGAGGCGAACACGATACTGCCAAAATCGGCGCTCTGCGGCCGTTTTTTGCGAAGCTATTCACCAAAAACTGAACCGTACCTTGGGGCACTTGACCTGACCTCAGAGGTCACCGGTTGACCTAGGACCTTAAAATCGGGTACCAATCTCTGCGTCTCGTAACGGCGCACACGCTCGTTTTTTTCCGCGACGCGCTAGCTCCACCAGGGGCGAAACGGCGAGGGCGGGGGGGGGGGGGGTCGTACCCCCCCCCCCTCGGCCGGCGCGTATGTAGAAAACCAATAGGTCCGGCGAGGGTTAAAACTGACACTTGTCAGGTTTTCAATTATGTATTCATCATCAACAAATTCGCTTTGTAGGTAAGTACTTAGTCAGTTACACATGTCAGTTAGACAAGAAATTACCTTAATAGCTACTTTATCTAACCATTTGAGAATCTTTCATTACGGAGCGAGCGAAGCGAGCGTAGTCTTTCCTTAGACCAGTATAGCGCCTTTTGGGGCGACTAACGGAGCGAGCGAGGGGGTGAGTCTTGCACGTGCGAAATTTCGAGGGGGTACCTCCAACTGACTTGTGCACGGCACCCTACTGACCGGTTTCTAGCAATGTGCCAAATTTGAGCACAATCGGCCCAGCCGTTCTCGAGATCTGGGAGCGGCACCCTGCACGTGCGCACGTGCAAAATGGGTCCCAACTGACTTGTGCACGGCACCCTACTAACTGGTCCCTAACTGTGTACCAAATTTGAGCGCCATCGGTCCAGCCGTTCTCGAGATATGGAAATGACCCCTGCACGTGCGCACGTGCAGCAGCACCCCAACTCTGGCACATGGATATGCAGTGCCTAGTGGGTGCCTACCTACATGCCAACTTTCAGCGCAATCGGCCAAGTAGTTACCGAGATATTGCAACAATTACAAAAGTGACACCTCTTCGTTTTGCACGTGGCACGTGCATAAGGGGTCACCCACATGCATCGGGAATAGTCCAATACTTGGTAGAAGGAATGAAGCTACCCTACAAAAATTACCGCATGTAAATCGGTCAAGTGGTTGCTGAGATATAAGCCTCGCAAAAGCGTCCGCACGGCCGGCCGGCCGGCCGGCCGCTCATACTCAGAAATTTCCGTTATTCTACGTAAGACTCCGCTCGCTTCGCTCGCTCCGTAATTAACGGAAATTTCTGAGTATGAGCGGCCGGCCGGCCGGCCGGCCGTGCGGACGCTTTTGCGAGGCTTATATCTCAGCAACCACTTGACCGATTTACATGCGGTAATTTTTGTAGGGTAGCTTCATTCCTTCTATCAAGTATTGGACTATTCCGATGCATTTGGGTGACCCCTTATGCACGTGCCACGTGCAAAACGAAGAGGTGTCAGACTTGTGATTGTTGCAATATCTCGGTAATTACTTGGCCGATTGCGCTGAAAGTTGGCATGTAGGTAGGCACCCACCAGGCACTGCATATCCATGTGCCAGAGTTGGGGTGCTACTGCACGTGCGCACGTGCAGGGGTCGTTTCCAGATCTCGAGAACGGCTCGACCGATTGCGCTCAAATTTGGTACACGGTTAGGGACCAGTTAGAAGGGTGCCGTGCACAAGTCAGTTGGGACCCATTTTGCACGTGCGCACGTGCAGGATGCCGCTCCCAGATCTTGAGAACGGCTGGGCCGATTGTGCTCAAATTTGGCACATCGCTAGAAACCGGTCAGTAGGGTGCCGTGCACAAGTCAGTTGGAGGTACCCCCTCGAAATTTCGCACGTGCAAGACTCACCCCCTCGCTCGCTCCGTTAGTCGCCCCAAAAGGCGCTATACTGGTAGTATTAGTGTTTACAACATTTCGATACCTATCACTGACAGCTATAAGCTTGTATTGACGAATTTAAGCCCTAAGATTCGGGCTCAGTTACCCTGCTTAAAATTTTTACGGAGCGAGCGAAGCGAGCGGAGTCTTTCCTTAGATTAACGGAAATTTCTGAGCATGAGCGGCCGGCCGGCCGGCCGGCCGTGCGGACGCTTTTGCGAGGCTTATATCTCAGCAACCACTTGGCCGATTTACACGCGGTAATTTTTGTAGGGTAGCTTCATTCCTTCTACCAATTATTGGACTATTCCCGATGCATGTGGGTGACCCCTTATGCACGTGCCACGTGCAAAACGAAGAGGTGTCAGTTTTGTAATTGTTGCAATATCTCGGTAACTACTTGGCCGATTGCGCTGAAAGTTGGCATGTAGGTAGGCACCCACTAGGCACTGCATATCCATGTGCCAGAGTTGGGGTGCTGCTGCACGTGCGCACGTGCAGGGGTCATTTCCAGATCTCGAGAACGGCTGGACCGATGGGGCTCAAATTTGGTACACGATTAGGGACCAGTTAGGGGTGCCGTGCACAAGTCAGTTGGGACCCATTTTGCACGTGCGCACGTGCAGGGTGCCGCTTCCAGATCTCGAGAACGGCTGGGCCGATTGTGCTCAAATTTGGCACATTGCTAGAGACCCGTTAGTAAGGTGCCGTGCACAAGTCAGTTGGAGGTAGCCCCTCGAAATTTCGCACGTGCAAGGCCCACCCTCTCGCTCGCTCCGTTAGTCGCCCCAAAAGGCGTTATACTGGTGATAGGTACTAAGGAATACATATCAATTTGTTATCCGTCAAAGTTCCAAATGATTTCTGTTAATGGATAATCTTACTTGCTAGTAACTGCTACCTTGCTGGAAGATTACCTGTCTTAATCATCTGTCAGACAGTTCAAATTAAGTTAAGGTGTTGAGTGGTGAATTGACACCTCCCCCGGAAATTTAAATGGATGGCAATGGGATGAAGGACATGCATTGCTAATTCGCTTCAGAGGCGTATTTGCAGGGCTCTAATGATATTTTTTTGGATACCAAGGCCTTTCTCACCAGGCAGCACCAAGGCTAATCTTACAACAGTGTAACAATTGAGAGGGCGTGGGCCCCATGCCCCTACCTGACCTACATAAACCATGGAGGCACCAATGGAGTGAGTGAAGCATTTCTGCGTGTCATTCAGGCCAAAGTAAGCAAAATCCTATTTTAATGATGGGCCTGTCACTGGTTGTCCTGATAATCAGTACTTATTTAGTTATTTAGTCCATATGTCCAAAACAACCAGCCATAAATAAGCAAACACCAAAAAAGAAAGGCTATATTCCATTTACCCTTACCTAACATATACTCCTTCCCGTTCCCAGCATGCGAATCCCCAGAAACGTGTTAGGTTGGGTTAGGTTTGTTTGATACAATTTTGGATGGGTTTGGGCCGGCCCCTATGTACCTACTCACCTAGTGGAATCTGTACCGCCGCTGGATGGCAGCGATGAAGTCTGGCCACAAGGAATCCTTGTGGCGTTCCCGCCACATAAATTCGTCGAGATATGACGAAATCCTGTCGACACCTTTAACGTTCTTCCTCCTGAGCAGCTGTTTGACTCGTGAGAAGTACGCTAGCACGTGGTTGGTATGCGTACCATCTGGTGCCATGAAGGTCTGAGAGTGATTCACAGTTTTGTGAATGTAACCGGCCGCTGTCAGTGAAGCGTAGCTTCGGCGTTCGTCGGTGTGGATTTCTGAGCCCAACTCCACCTTCGACACGATACGGGGGACTATTTCTTCTCGTTTGCGATTTGGAATGAACTCTAGTATGCCAGTCTTTGTCTCCACTTCATACATGCCGAGCACCCAGCAGGTCTCACGGGCGATGGGCTGGCCCCGGTGGTACCTCCTGTGTCCCAGCACAGTCTCATCTACCACAACAAGTTTGCCAGGGCCTCCAATTTTCCCCCTGGTTTCTTCCATGACATTCTTTGACATCACATCGCGGAAAAATTGGAGCCAGTCCGTGACGGTTGCTACGGCTGGTGGATTGCTCACCATTGAACGGATGTCCGTTACGTTCAGATTCTGCCTCACATAAAGATAAGCCATCTTCAGAATCATCATGGGCTCAACGTGTGACCGATCAAAAAGGCTTGCCTTGCGGAATGACTCGACCTTGTAACACTTGGGACATCCCCAAGCCTTTCCGAAAACCGCATCAAGGCCGAACACACGTTCCTTCATCCGTTTCGACCGGCAGCAGTGTTTTCCCATTCTGCGGATGAGCCGGTTGTTTTGCAACAACGCTTTCAGTTTTTCAGGGGTGTCTGTTGCCGCGCTCAATAGGACGAGTGCCTCGAACGATTCTATCTCTTTGAGATCCATAGTTGCGCGAAACACTGTAAAACTTCAGTTTTTTACATCAAAGAAACACAATTTTGATGATGAAATATCAATTCAGTTGGGCAAACTGGACCTCTGGAATCAAAATATGGAGGCATCAATAATTTGATTCTGGTGGGAGGAGCCATGACCATATATGAGCATGGAATCCATTTTGTATTCATTTTGGTACGGGGACCCGCAGTTGCTACTGTACACGAACCCCAACTCTAGCCGTCTGTCCTGTCCAGTAACAGCCGATAACATTGATATCGACTGCCGGTCCCTGTACAAGAGCAGCTGAGTTTTCAGTGCGTGCCCTCTGACAGCTTATCGTTGTTCCCTGTGAGGGTGCTGGGACGATTTACTCAGGGTCGCTGTACAGTAGCAACTGTGGGTCCCCGTACACTTTTGACTTCAAATGCATCGTTAGTGTTGAAAAAAGGCCCATGACCGTGATATTTTTGTTTAGATAGGTTGTTTAGATTGGTTTAGATAGATATTCCATGACGTTTTTTTTCGTCTAGCAGATTTTCGTCAAACAATTATTCGTTCGCAGATTTTTGTCCACCTTTTTTTGTCTCACATTTTTTCATCCCTACATTTTTTCGTCGGCACAATTTTCCGTCTGTACCAACAATTGTTCATCGGACATCTTTTCGTCAGTACCTATATTTTTTCATCTGTGCTTTTTTTCGTCAGGACATTTTTCGTCTAAGAACCTTTTTTTAAACAACACACTGGACATTTATTTGTCCAAACACGTAAACAAACGTAAAATAGTAAAGGGAAACATTGGGTGGGATCAGGGATGGTGAATGGTGAACACACAGAGCAGAATTTAGAAGTTGACCAAACCTTACCTAACGGCTAACCTTACCTACTGATTTCTGCCTACTGGGGGATAAAGAAAAAGTTACTTGCATGAATAGATTGCAAGCAATGGCAAGTCAAATATTTTTAGGTTAAGTGATTATGCATCAGGATTCAGGCTTCAAGCCTTTGGCCTGAAGCCAGATACACAACCACTTAACCTATAAATATTTGACTTACCATTGTCTGTGATCTCTCCGCATTGCCTTTGGCACTGCACTGGTTTGCCTTGCCCCAAGTACCTTTTATTATGATATGATATCACTTGCCTCAGTCAAATAGCATCATGGTGTGCTTTCACTGAACCTTGGAGTTGTAACAGTGGGTGCACAGACGTAGAATTTATTGGATGAAAAATGTCTGGACAAAAAAAAAATGTACAGACAAAAAAATGGGTGGACAAAAAAGGTACCTACAGACGAAAAATGAAATCCCCTCATTAATACAGTACACTGCACCAAATTCTGTCTTCTGTTCCACTGTTGGGATTTGAACCTGCAACCCCCCGTCGTCATGCTTGGTAATCTCTCCCTCATCAATAGAAAACATACATTGATAGTACATCCGAGACGTAATAAATTCACTAAATTGTGACACACTAGCTAGCGCCAGTCTCAAGGTCACAGACCGTCACACTACCTCCAGCCAGTGCCACATAGACAGAAGTGTTACGCCTGCATTGCAACTACCTGAAATTTTGTCCAGACACCCTATTGCTATAGGCTCCTCAATCTGTTGGTGCTGAGAATGCCACTAAATGAGAATAATAGCAAAATAATGTATTCTTGCAAGCCATTGCTGCATATTTGCAGCAAATATCATTCTGCATATTTTGCATATTTGTGAATCAAAAAATGATTAGCCAGCTGATGTAACTCAATATTTTGATTAGGTAGGTATCTGTTCAACGCAAATCAATTTCTTGGTTAGGTACCTTTCACTACCTGTAGAATGCAGATTGTTATGATAAGAGCAATAATAACATACTCAGTAGATAGTTCCAACATTTCTGTTCAAGACCAGACATGCTCCTTCTTGAAACATTTGCTCATTTTTATATGATTGGTAATTTAGACATTGTCTGCATTTATGTGACGTCCAAATCAATGGTCAAATGGAATCAATTTTTTGATGCTTCCATTTCTTTATTCCAGAAGTCTATAGCCCAAATGAATCCTCCATGGCCAATTCCATCAAAAACAGATTCAAAACATTTTTATTCCCCACACTTACCGAAATACAATAAATAAATCACCCCACACCATCCGTTGTAGACATCAGGGTATATTGAGTGAAGGGTAGGACGAAGTTTGGTAGGAATTTCTAGTATAACTACTAGAAAACCTACTATATGTGGTCGGGACTAGCAAAAAGTTAGTTCAAACTAGAATATGGTAGCGCTTATGGTTTGCAGTCGTGACGCGCACGTGACATTCATTTCTTAAATTTCTTAAGTAACAGGTTTTAGGGGCCGATTAGTGCGCAGACACATTCAATTAGCTATTAATAATTGATTACGCAAACATTCAAGATTCTACATCATTCAATTCTAGCCGAAATCATACAGCGCTCCCAGGATTCGAACTCACGACCCTCGGATCCGTAGCCCGATACGCTACCGACTGCGCTACTGAGGACCGCGCGCCGACGATCGGAGAGGCGGATAGCGGGTGCTGGCGTGCAGAGAAATCTTTACCCTGTACGCCGTAGAAGATCGGCTGGGTTTCGTGAAAAATGGTAGAGGAATTGTCGAAAGAAAATTCATCGATCTATCATTTGAGACTAAGAACCATTGATTCCTTCAAAGGTTGACCGAGATATCGCTCGCCGAAAACAGGCCATTTAACATGTAAACCCTATGGGCTGGTAGGAAATGTACGCCGTGGAGCAGCAGTGCTACCAACGAACTTCGGCGGTAGACATCACGCAACGCAACACGCCCAGCACGCGCCTTGCACGTGCACGCATGCGTCACACTAACGTAACAACTGCGCCATTTTCACTGTCAGGCGTCATGAAATGTGTTTCAATGACGTCAATATAATATCATCACTGAATAATCAGAAATTGATCTGAAGTTACTTTAATGTACGTGTTGTTGATGTTAGTTTTTATTTGATTAAATATTTAAAATACACATCTGTCATAACGTAGCAAACAAAAAAGATTAGACATCAATTTTATATTCACTTGTCTCAAAAGTCATCCTCACCATTACCGCGTTCGATGTCTCTCGGACGACGAAGATTCTACGTCATTCGGCCAATCCCGTTCAAGGTCAGCGAGGGCTGGGCTGCAGTTATGAAACGTGATTGGCCGGACGGCGTTGAATCTTCGTCGTCCGAGAGACTTCAAACGCGGGGTTAGACATTAGACAACCAAAGATGACCTTTTCGAAACTCGGTTGTCTGCTTCCTTGTTTTTGTCATAGCTCGGGGCAGCTCGGGCCTCGGGGCGTCTGCTGAGTGGGGTCAGTGGGGGCCGGTGCAAGGCCATCTGGCCGGTGGGGCATGCTGCTGAGTGAGTATCGTCATGGTATCGTGGTCTGCCGTGTGGCTTTTGGCTTTTGGCTTTTGGCAATGCAAAATTTGTATTTATAGTCACCGTGGCTCATTTGGTATCTTAAGGAATCTTGGGTCGGAACAGAACAGTAGCAACCGAATTCGGCGATATTCAATCAATTTCGGTGGCTAACTATTTAGAAGTAGACAGAGACTTCTCGCCTACAAAATAAGATTGTTGGATCATTTTTTGGAGCAACGTTTTTTCAAGGTTTGTTGCCACTGATTGTGATTGTGTGAACTTACGTAGCCCCCGGCCCTCCGCCCTCTCATTAATGTGGCCGAATATTCCGTTCGCATTCGCCAGCGATGAGCATGATTTCATGTTCGTACTTTCTGTGAGTGAAACAAAACATTGCAATGCATAATTTTCATCAAGCAAGACCTAATATAACTGCAGAGGTATACCTGCTTAAAACGAAGACGGCGGAGAACAAAACCAGGCCGACAGGGTAGGTACGCGAGGCGACCACTGAACTTCTGAACAAACGACCACTGAACAATGCCGACTGGGTCGAGTTCGGGATGTCATGTGAGGCGGCCCTCTCCGTTCCCCCCCCCCCCCCCCCCCACACAGGCCACGGCTCAACTTCTGGCCACCCGATTCACCTCAGCTGTCCAGGACGCCGCGAAGGAGTTCATCTCCCGGGGAGCTAGAAAAGACTCCAAGCCGCGGGCCCTCCACCCGGACCTCCAGCAGGCGATCCAAGAGCGCCGGGCAGCCAGAGACAACGTGAAGTCGGGAGACCCCCAACGAGAACCCGCTGGACCGAGGCTAAGCACCGGGCCAGCCAGGTGGAAAAACGAGTAGCCAGGGAGCAATTCCGGGACTTAGTAAGCACGGCGAGCTAAACCGGCCTACCAGCGTGGGCCAGTCTCCCGGCTCCTGGCGCCGTGGACGACGACCACCGAGAGGGCGAGGCGATGCGGATTGGAGATTGGTTGCTCGTAACAGCCGAGGAGAAGGCCAACGTGTTTGCCGCCCAGCACGTCCATGTCTCCCGCCAGGTGAGGGCGCCGAAGATCGACCGACCCGCGCGAGGACGACTGTCGAACTTCAGCCCGTGTTGCTGCGCCGGCTGTGACGGCGACCACACCGGATGCTGCTCGTCATTCTCCGAGGAAGAGCTGATCAGGGAGATACAACTTATCCAACTGAAGAAGTCACCAGGACCGGACGGGATCACCAACGAGATGATCAAGTACCTCGGCCCGGTGGCGCGCAGAGCCCTTCTTTACGGTATATAGAGAACTCCTTCTCCGCTTGATCCCTGCTCATCCCTGTAATGATTTTTGGTGTTCATAAATGCAGTCTTCCAATTTCGGTAGTGCAATTTTCAGGTCTCGCCCATATGTCTACAGCTTTGTTTCTTTACATATACCAGCTCCTCACCGGCATTGTTGATAGTGCCGTTCAAAATCGCAGCGTCCGCTGCCCGACCCCTATTAGATTAAAACGGCAATACAAGTACAAAACACGCCACGGTATACGTACATAAATGAGGAATTACACTATTATTACCCATTGGGTGGAAGAACGATCAGAAAAATTGCGAACAGGTGCAGGCAAGTGCAACAGCCTGAAATGAGAGTGATCACGGCAATCAAATCAAGTTATAGGTACATATACCTTCCACGCACTGATAAAAACTCCGCCCACTCGGTGACTATTTCTATCTATGCAATTGGACTAAGGTGGCATGGTTGGCGATCTACCAGCTGATTTAGAAGGCGCTATTTTACCATATATAGGTACTTGTTTGGAATGGGCTCGCCCAAATATCATCTGTTCATGCTAGTTTGCCATTCTTTAGGTACCTAGGTACCTATTGATTTCGACTTGAACGACATTTGCGACTGATTTCATGCGTCGTGTTTCTTTCAGGTCAGAGCGTGGGTCCTGAGATGCGTCAGTAAAAGTTTTCCGACGCAATGTATGATCCTACAAATAAGGGAACGCCAGATATAGTGCCGGAGTCTGCAGATGAACTCACTCCTGCGTTGGGGTATGTTTAGCGTCTGCACGTCGTTCAATTTTGCTTGCTCCCATGCATGTGTCATATCATATTACATGTGTCCAAAACAGAGCCATACATTCATAAATACATATGCAACGGCACCTGCTTTCGGCTTCGTTATAATCTATTTTAAAGGGACCCTCCCACCTTAACATTAGATTTGAGTTGAGATAGCCAAAATGGGGTCCCAGGCTCACAATTACCGGTTTCGGCACTCACAACATCGAGAAATGCCTTAAATCGGAAATATTGAATTTCAAAATTGCAGCATTTTGATTCAGAGGGGCTAATGCTGAGGAATACCCCTCTGAATGTGTGACGTCAGCGCAAATATCTAACGATTTTTAAATGTTTGACTAAAACGTTTTGTAGCACGCGGTGGTATATGCTATTTGCGCGCAACATCTGCCGCAAACGCCGCACTTCTAAAATAAAGTCGCTAGAAACAGCGGAGATCCCAAAAAAGTAAACAAAAGTAAAAGTCTAATATCTTGAAAACCGGTGAATATTTTTCGGTGAAATTTGGTAGATATTCGTTTTCGCTCTTTCTGAACCGAGCGACATCACTTTCATGCCAATTCATAAACTTTTTTGAAGGTGGGAGGGTCCCTTTAACCTTAGTACCATTTACCACCATTGCTATCCTTATCCATTTCATGTACCGACTCTGTATCACCTCCGCAGACTGCCGGGGCTGCTGGCCGCCCGGGCCGGCACCTTTCTGTCGCCGGAGGTCGGGCCTGTGGCACTCTTCTCGCAGGCCTCAGACGCCAGTACCCACTTCTCTCCCGATGTTACCGCGGCCCCGGCCCCACACGAGGCGGAGAAGGCCGCCACCGCGAGCTCCCAGCTGCTTTTCTCACCAGGAGAGGAGGTGGTGCAATTGGGGCGCCTCCCGAGCTCCGCTGACACGGTAAGTGGCCTATGTGAACTGGAATATTCTATAAGAAATCCCTGGTGTTTACCGGAGTGTTGAACTGGCGAATGTGTATGTTTAGCACAAAAAAAAACATGCACGTATCTTTCACTTGCTCTCAATTCATTTCTGTTTCCTTATAAGTGATCGTTTTGTTCTTATCAACTCTGATGAATCGTTACGCTAAGCCATGTTTTCGTTTGCGGTTCCAGCCGAACCATATGGCCGTGGAGCGTTGCATCGCTCTGATGAGCCGGTCACCTACGGCTGCCAGTGGTCCGAGTCCGGCAGTCAGTCCGGGCCCGGCGCCCTCCGTGCCCTCCAGCTGTCAGCAGCTGGACCAGACCCCTTCGGTAGCCACCAGCCCAGGTCCGGCAGCGGCCGCCAGTCCCGGACCGCCTGTCCCCGCGCTCCGGTGGCCGGCAGGGTCATACGGACTCGACTCGGATGGTGCGGAATCGGACGGAGGCAGTCTCACCGAGCCTGTCAAACCCGATCAGACTGCCGCATATACCTCGGGCGGCAGCTATGGACTCTCTCAGACAGGACAGGCTCAGTACTCGGAGGGAAGCTATTCGGACCGGGGGCTTCCACCTGAGATGCCGGACGCTCGCCGTCCTCCACCGGCAGCCGTCGAGTACAGAGGACGGCGGGGACGTGAAGGCAGAGGGCAGACGCGATCCAAGCAGAGATCTGGTGACAAAGTCAGCGTCAGAGAGCGCCAGGTCAGAGACCCAGCGTATAGTATGTATGTAAGGCATGCAATATCGGAACAATTTTCGGGACGATTGCTTGTTAACCTCACGCGCCAAACGAACAGAGTTCCATGTTTGAACATTAATTCATCCACTGCCTTTCCATTTCCATAGATAATCAATATCCGCGTAAAATGCTTTCATAAGTGGTATTCGTTTCCAAACTCTCCGATGGCATACCGTTCTATGCAAACTATGCGGCGCCCGTTCCAGTCCAACCGGGGGCGGCGAGACGACCGGGAAGACTCTGTCTCCGACACTCGCCACCAGTTGTCGCTACTTTCGCGGCTCAGGCAGACGCTGAACAGACTGCAGATTCAGCTCGATGATGATGGTGAAAGCATCACCATGGCCAAGCTGCGGGAGCTCAAGGTGCGATTAAGCGAGTCAGTATGCCTAGAGAACTGCACTTCATGACAAATAAATGGCAGTTTCAGGCTGCAGCTACCCTTGTTTCAGATTGTATGTGCTTAGTGCTACATCCTTCGATCAGCGACGAACAGAAACTGCGGCAAAAGTTATCATTACCTCTTCAAGGATTGCAGTAATAAAAATGATCTTACATTTGTAACAGCTGATTCAAGTTGAGCGTGCTTTCGGTCATTATGTCCTTATCTTATTCATTACAAAGGCACAATCTGAGGGACCGTCTTGTTTTCAGAACCGCGTTCGTCCGTGCTCAGCAGCCCTGGAGTCCCTGACAAACGGATACACTACCAAGGTAAGTCCCGGGATGGTCAGCCTGGCACCCTTTAGCAAACTTCAATACACTTTCCATTATTTAAATCATGACGTCTCGCCGAATAAGGCAATATTTATAGAAATAGCTCGGCTCTCGGAGAAAACCATTGAAGTTCGTGCCATGGATTTCGAACTAAGATGCCTGCTGTTATCCGTCCTCCAACGGTAGCGGTTGCCAAGTTACAGCAGACAGCCGTCCGTTGGACAATTGTGTTGACAGTTGACACTGAAATTAGAGAACGCACTTTGAGAGATATGTTGTGAAGTATGTATATCATTCTATGTAGTCCAATGTATCTTCCTGACTCCTGTGCAGTCATTAGGATCTGCTAGAGAGGAGACCTTCTGTTTACAATGTGCGGACCCATGTGAGAGCATTGGGTCGGAGTGGGCTGCTGTTACTCTCCTTGCGGCCGGTGTGATTTTTTGTCCAATCCACAATCCCGAGAGACGGCTGAAGAATGATAATTTCAAGTGTCGAGTTATTATGATTGAGTGATCTGTATAGCTTTGCGACTTCGGGTTTCTCTTTTGGGAGTGTGACATTGCCTTTCCAGCATTAACCATTATTAAACAAATACGCATATCAAATATAAAAATCAACGCCTTGAAATTATTGTTTACTTTTAGAGTATTCAATGAAACATTTTCTTTTTCATTATTCTGTAAAGATTGACGATTGCTGGACGTTTTCAACGTCAGGATGTGTCGCGGCGATTGGCGAAGGTTCAAGAGGTTAGCGACACGTTGTTGCTGCGCATAAAGATGCTTGAGACGAGATGTCGGCCAACGGACACACGCAACGGGTTGGTTGCCCGATCAACTGGTAAGCATCGACATTCGACTGCTTTGTTGTGCATTTTTTGCATTGATTGATATTTGTAACCTTTTATGGATACGCGTTGTATTGTCCTATTGGATTGATTCCGGTGTGATATGAGTTATAAGAGGAAGGTTAGTGTCATCAGTTATTATGTGTGGAGGATACGTATTGAGGTAGATTTGCGAGTAAATTATGGATTTCATTTACCATGTACTTCATCAAGGTTTCAAAAACTTCAGCTTTTGCTTTTCCTCTGTCTCTCCATAATGCTATTCGGAAACTACCCTTAGCAAGATATCAAGTAGAGTTGCAAAATTTCCCTACCGCACTACCGGCATGCCGGTAATTTTTCACTACCGCAGGTTTTTTCGTGGTATTGGCATGTCTTGCCGGTAGCATGCCGGTATTTTTGATTTTGCACAAAAAAAAAAATATCAGCATATGATTCAAACTTTGGACACTAAGAGGCTATTGAATTGTAATAAGTTGGACAATGGGTGGCTGCTGGGTGGGGCGGTTACTGAAATTGCCAAAATGTGGCATCTCATGTATCTAGGGGTAAGCCAGAATCAAGAATGCAGGTTTTTTTTAGTATGCCGGTAATTTGGCGGTTTTTTTTGCTTGGGGTGTGGTAGCATGCCGGTATCCCAGAAAATGTTTGTGGGGCGGGGCGGTGCCGGTAGCAGCCCATTGGGAAAACTTTGCAACTCTAATATCAAGGTGGTGTTTTTAAACATACGGAGCGATAGGTGTGCGTGCACTGTGTATGAGACTACTTCCGTGTCTGTCATCCTGTACCCCAATCATCCAATGAAATCTTTCAGCGGGTCGTCGAGTCAAGAACCAGAGACGGGACTCTCGAAGTGGTCCGTTTGGTCGCAGTCGACGAAGGGGTGCCGTGTCACTGGCTCCACCGCCACCGGACTTCGCTCCGTCGACTGGGCCTTCGCCAAGCCCACCGTCACCCGGCTCACCGATTCTGCCTGCCGATGATGACGCAGACTCACCAAAGCAGCTGAGCGCTAAACCTACATCGCTGAGCGGACGGATCGTCGTGGTTTCCTCGGCTGCGCCCTCTGTTGCCGCCTCCTCTGGCCCTCTTGCCAACACTGCCGCTCCAGCTGCCACTGCAGGCAGCGGCTTTACTGCTGTTGCAGCTGCCCCCACTGGAGGCGCCTTCGCTACCACCTCATCTGCCGCATTAGGTGGCGCCTTCCCTGCTGCTGGGGCATTCCACGTCAAATCAAACACCGAAATCCGTCATCCCCTTCGATTTTTCTGAAAATTTGTAGGCAGACTGGGCATGGTTCAAAACTGAGTTACGTATAATATTTTCGAAATTTGATAACGTATCGCTGAGATATAGGTCATCGAATATAGCGAAAAATGCCACACATCAATTTTTTAAATGGCTATAACTCTGGTTCCTTTTCTGGTATCAAAATGATATTAACAGGGTCTTATAGGCAATTGATAAGGCTTTGATTTTTAATTATAAAATTAAATTGAAGTGACCTTGAAATGCATTTGACCTTGAATTAAAACAGAAAAATTTAAATAGCAAAAAACACGTCACCTTCGATTTGGGTAATTTTTACATAATATGTCCGTCACAATGTTCCTAACCATCTGTGAAAAAATTGGAGTGGGCCATTCATAACTTTCGCGGCAAGCGCGCCATTTTCATGCATCAACATCACGCAACCGCGCGTGACCTTGAAAGACAGAGTCAAGACATGCTTGCTTGTGTACACTTTCTGAAATGAATGATTGCTGATTAGTGATATCCTAAACTCTGCGAGAATGGAAATGCATAGTCATCGTAGTCAAGCATTCACGTTCCATAGTAAAAGTGTCTCAGGCAAACGGTATTTTGCGGTGAATTTTGAGCCGTGTGGAAATGCATCATGAAGTAAAGTCAACGAAAACATTATCACGCAACGATATCTTCACGTCTTTTGATCTTCACTATACGAAAGAACATACATTTTTTTTAGTATGTATGGGGAATTTCTAGTTAATCCAAATATAAATATGGCAGTTAGAGGCCTGCTAAGAGTAACATGTCGCCGGCTGAGGCGGGCTCGGCCGATGCGGGAAACGCAGCAATCACAATTTTGTGTTTACACGTTCATATTTCAATTGTTTACCAACCGATTTTCAAAATTCTTTCACCATAAGATTGCCTGTACATTTCTTAGTCTTCTCACAAAATTTGACGCGAATCGAACGTAATCAGCGGTAGGGAGCGCGATGTAAAGACGGAACCGTTCCGTTCCGTCCCGGCACAGTCTACAATTCAGGCGGCGCGTAGCGGTCGGCGCCGGCTGCCGAGTCGCCGCGTCGCTGCGGCGACAGGATGTTCACTTTACACCGCTATTACTAGAACAGTTGTGAACCGATTTTCTTATTGCTTGCACGATGAGATGTCCAATTCAATTCTTGACAGGTAGCCATAATTAATTTCGCATTAATCTTATGAGATATTGGCGAAAAACAGGAGGGGTGGGCGAAATTCGCTCTTCCCCCTCCACTGCGCGTGCTAACATACGTTTGCATATGTGCAATTTTCTTCAAAACTTATGAATGGCCCACTCTAATTTTTTCACAGGTTGTTAAGAATATGGTAGGCAATAAAATATATGAAAATGAGCCAAATCGAAGGTGACGTGTTTTTTGCTATTTCAATATTTGTGCTTAAGAACAGAGTTAAGCAAATTTCAAGGTCATATATTTAAGTAGGTGCAATTCTAAACAAATGCTTAAGAAATAACCTAAACAGTAAAGTTTATTTCATTCAAATCAAACAAGTACAACCGAAGTTATGGTCGTTCAAAAATATAAAGATGCAACATTTTGTAAAAATTTGATGCCCTATATTTAGAAGACCTGTGGTCAGAATGTGCAAAAAACATCAATGTAATGTCCGGGGCCCCACAGGAACTCGCTCACAAATTTATAATGAAATCGCTGATGGTAAGGTGCAAAACCGCCGATTTTTGTTCGATTTGACGTGGAATGCCCCTGCTGCAGCCGCCACACCAGGCGGCGCTTTCCCTGGAGCCGCAGTTCCCACACGTGGCGCCTTCTCCGGAGCTCCAGCAGTCGCAACAGGCGGCGCCTTCCCTGGAGCTGCAGCTGCAGTAGCAGGCGGCGCCTTCTCCGGAACTCCAACAGTCGCAACAGGCGGCGCCTTCCCTGGAGCTGCAGCTACCGCAGTAGGCGGCGCCTTCCCTAGAGCTGCAGCTACCGTAGCAGGCGGCGCCTTCCCTGGAGCTGCAGCCGGACCCTGGTTCTGGCAGTGGCCGATGGGACTTCCCGCCGGGTGCTCCACCTGGCTGACGCCGCCTCCCTGGTTTGGCCCAATGCCTTGGGACCGTCAGCCTCCGCCACCGGCCACAGTGTCCGCATCTGCTCCGCCTCCGACGGCAGCCACTGCTCCGCCTCCGACGGCAGCCATTGCTCCGCCACCGGTCTTCGTCTCTGCTTCTGCAACAGAGACAGCTACAGAGCACGCTGCCGAGAGAACGCAGTCCTCTGCGGAGCAGCAGAGCAGCGGAGAAGATGGGACCCACAACATCCGGAAGATGGCACTTACGACGCCTGATCAGCGCTCGGAGGAAATGGAGGTGTGTAAACCGAAACAGAATATGGCTCTATCAATTATTTCTGTACTTCAGTTGGGTCCGTTCAGTTAGCTTAACTAGTAGGTTTCTAAATAATTGTCCACCTACGGGAACAGGCTTAAAACTCGTGTGCCTTTCCAATCTAAATAGGCGTGCAATATTGATTGTGTTCTTGTTTGTCTGCGACCTTCTGACTGATGTTTGCACAGTACCAATTGCCCATAAGTGTTACAAATGTAGAATGCCAGACGGTTCCATTTCAAAGGGTTGGTTGTCGCGACATATGACCTGGCTATCGACCATGTAAACAGAGCGTTGGTGTGGGCCACTCGATGGCACGACCTTCACGGCGGCCATAACCGGGTTATAAACACCTCGTGCTCACTCAACGTTCCGTGCAATGGCGTAGCGGTGTATACCGGTAGACTAATGTTTCTTGTGATTCAGGACATCAGTTGCCACCTCTGACATGACCGTCTATGCTTTGACCTTCCAACAAAAAATACGTACAAAATTGTGTACTCTGCCAACGCCCATTATGTAAACCTGACAAACACATTGACTGCACTCATTATTAAACGTTCCCAATTTTAGGAATCGACTGCAAGTTCACATCCAATTCACACATTCACATCGTCTCACCTTTCTGGCAGGAGGTCGCGGAGTCCAGCTGCCAGCATGACTCAGAGGAAGCGGACGAGAAGGAGGACCGGCCGAGCGCTCTCCGCCAGCGCTGTCTGCTGCTCCGTCTGCGTACCGTTCGACTGGTGGACGACTGTGAGCTGGTACCTCTCACCTGTCCCGGCTGGGATCGTCCCGAAACGCTGCTGGATGCTGACGATGAATGGTGGAGCTAACTAGTGACCGCCGCCCTGGGTTGCTGGTCTGTGGCCAAACTCCAACGGTTAGAACGAACGGCCAAACTCCAGTCCTATATCAGATGGCCAGGGTTTGATCTTTTCAGGACGTGCGTTATCGCTTGAAGTATTCGATGAGTGTTGCCAAAAGCATTGGCTCAAACTTTAGTTGTGACAACTAGTGTTTTACATGTTGTGGCTGTTTTATTCTTGATACCTGCAATGTTGTGTTGATACCGCGTTATTTCTCATCGTTAATTATGATGTAACCTGAACATTTGTAATTTAATCATAACTAGTTGGAAATATAATTTAGTTTTGTTTATATGTCGTTGGGCACCGTTCGCTGTTCAAATTTTTGATTATGTTAGTGCTTCTGCATTACGGTTATTGAGTAAGACGCTGAACCGATCAAGTAATAATGTATTGACTTCGTCATCTTTAAAAACGTTTATGCGTTGGAATCATGTGTATTTATGAATAATTGTTGATGTACAGTAGGAAATCGTCAAAAAATGATTTGAACAAAGATAGCCCATGCTGGTTGCAAACGGGCCCAGCCCAGGCCACCATAAGTCGTGATCGAGTTCAGTTTTGTCACCATTCCGTTTCAGCTGCAGATAAACCCTATCTATTCTTATTCATTTGTCTGAGCCCACAGCATTATACTGATCCGCGAAGTCTCCACCAGAGCCTCTTACCGGCGTCCCGACACGGCTCAGTCGTTACAAAATTAGCTCAGTATTTATCACACAGGCGCCCAGCTGCACCACTGCCTCGCACTGATTCGGCCGAGAATAGCAGCAACAGCAGACGGATCGATTGGATTAGGTGTCCTCAGCATAGCATTATGCCGACGAGCCAAGGAGCTACGACAACTTCTACGGGCACTTCACGAGCAGCTCCACGTGCTGTTAGTAGAAGTATTCGCACTTACGAATCTGTTAATTGTCCCTAAATGTGACACTTTCCAGTCCGACAGTACCGACATTGTCCGTGTAGGTCTGGACGCTGGAGGGGTTCGGTTAGCCGGAGGGCCGGCTGTGTCAGTGCGGCCGACCCTTTGTTAACCCCCCTAGCTCGTGACCACTGACGAAGCGCACCTTCTCCCCGGATACCACTGCGCACGACTCGGAAAAACTGACCACCGTCTGCGTCTTCTTGAGGAAGTCCACGCCGAGCACCAGCTCTGGCGTGGTGTCTGAAACTGGGGGACGGGTAGTGTTAGAATAGGAACGGTTCTATGATAAACTTAGTGAAATACATGTGCTGTGGAGAATACGAACAGTTGACCATTGTCACAATCAACAAAACTGAGTGCACATAGGATTGTTCTCGTTTGTGCATTAACCCGCGCCCTGGTGGGGGGGGGGGCTATTTTTTGCCCCCCTCCAGACTTTTCGATATATCTCCAGAACCGCTGCGCCGATCGCCACCAAACTTTCAGGACCCTCTTGGACATCAATTTTACACATCGTGACCAAAAATTTTTCCAAAGGCTATGATAGGTTGGCTGGAAATGACGTCAGAGTGACGTCATGTTCTGCCGTTTTCGACCAAAAAAAAGGGTTTCGCGGGAAGAGCTGTCAGGCCTATAGCTTTGCAAATACAGAAAAACGATAAAGACATTAAAGAAGTAAAATTGACAGGGCTACAAAACGTCTATCTCGGATTTTTGAAATTTTTGGATTTTGACCCCCAAAAATAAAAAAATGGATTTTTTGAATATAATAGCCGAAAAATCCAAAAAGTTTTTGGAGTTTCGCAAAAACCGGAATATATATGATAGTCCTTACCGCCTTCTATCCACATACCAAATTTGAGATTGATACCTCATTTTTTGGAGAAGTTATAGCGAAAAAAACTGTTCAAAATTGATGACGTCAAATTTTCAAACTCAATTTTTAGCAATTCTAGACCCCGTAGCGCAAAACAAAGACCACCATTAGACTCCCCGTGACGAGCTGCATCGAATCAATACCCATTTTATGCAAAACTAACAACTTTAAAATTTGACCTTTCTTGACCTGACCTTGACCTGACCTTCACCAGAAAGTGACCTAAGCCGTACCTGATAGTCTTATAACCAACACCATTGAGTTGGAAATGAAAAATTGGCCATAAAACATGCATCGCACAACCTTGGTACCTAATGTTAGGTTCATGTGACCTGACCTCTGACCCTTGGTGACCTGACCTGTGACCTGACCTGGTATTGTCAGTGACCTCTTATAGCAACATATGTACTAGGCAACTGACGCCCTATCGCTGATTCTCGACAAAATGCGTTTTCTTCGGTGTTATAGCGCATTCCCTAGATGACCCGTGAACGGTGAAACATGTCATCTTTGACCTGACCTGTGACGTCATCGGTGACCCCGAGGTCAATGAAATTTGGTTTCCCTCGACAAATTTGACAGGCCTTTCGAACGCCGTTTGAATTTTGAGGATCCGTCAAGTAGTTTCGGAGATACGAGGGGGGGGCAAAAAATAGCCCCCACCCCACCAGGTCGCGTTATAAACAGACCCCACCAGGGCGCGGGTTAGTAGAGGTCGAGGGCATTGACTGAATCGATTTCCATTTGGACTACCAGGCAGCCGATGACCCAAATACTGGCGAATGGGTCGAGCCACGCAACGGTCTATCAACTGAGCCAAATACGAACTTCCAAAGTCATGAAGGTCAGGGAGTGGTTATCCAATTGGGTTACATCAGATATGTTGCGTGCTCGACGGTACAGAAAGTGAAAAATTGATTTTGGGCAATGGCTCGTATTTGAGGTCAGTCAGAAAAGTCACGAAAGCTTCATTTGTCTCAATAACCTTATGCCGCCCTCACAAAATAAGCAGTTCGCTTGGATGGGACTTAACTTGAAATATGATTTTTGTGCTGTGGTCCCTGGGCTATCCAAGCACGACCCAATGCTTTCTTAGTAGACAAGATATCGAAAGATATGACTCACCGACAAACAGCTGCATGTTGAGTTGACTTTTTCCTAATGACACATCCATGTATTTGAGCTTCCCGTGTATTACTGGCCTTTCAAGACCTGTTGAAAGAGGCGGTGAAGGAACATATCACCTTACATCCACACGGCCCGAATAGCGAGGGTTATGTTCTCGTCGGATACCTGACCTCGTCACATACATGTCCGTCTGGGGACTAATGGCAGTACTGCATTCAGTAATAGTCACGTCTTCAATCAATGTGAGGTCATGCATATAACTTTGACTTTGCGACTTGGGTTAGTGAAAAGTTAGTTGAATAATGAAAAGCTCTCCAACAGCTGTTCGAGTTGCAGCGGGAATCCAGCAAGGCTCCGGACAAACGGTTGACCTGGACGATTGACACTGACCTGAGAAGCACGTGCACTCAACTGGTTATCAGCTGCAGCACTACCGGGGGGGGGGGGGCGTAAACACCCACAAGATGAGGTCACTCTGCAACATTGGGGACGGATGCAACTACCTGGTAGGCCGACTAGACTCACCAGACACACCCATCTAGGGACTGGTGACACGCACCTGACAGCGGACTGGGCGGCGTCGTTCGGTCCTGGATGACGTCTCTGGACATGTTGAACGCACTCACTAAACTCCGAGAGATTGTCGAGTAGACGTTACTTGTGTCTAGGAGCGCGTACACGGGCCTGCCGTTGCACTGCGAAAGGGAGCAGGAGAAGTCGTTACTTTTGGCAAGCCGCGCCATCGATTCGAATTTCGAAGGAATGTTATTTCATTGATAGGTTCTTACAATGTACAAGATATTTATGTGCGTGTGTTAGAGCATTCCTCATGTCTATGTTTGCATGGCGAAATAAATTAAGAAACTAAGAGATTATATGCAGAGAGTGGCAACAAACATTACAATATAATTCAATGCCGTAAAGAGCAAGTAGCATACCTACGAATATATTCAACCAGTAAAACGCCTTTTGGGCGACCAACGGAGCGAGCGAGAGGATGGGCCTTGCACGTGCGAAATTGCGAGGGGGTACCTCCAACTAACTTGTGCACTGCACCCTACTAACCGGTCTTTAGCGATGTGCCAAATTTCAGCGCAATCGGCCTAGCCGTTCTCGAGATCTGGAAGCGGCACACTGCACGTGCGCACGTGCAAGCGGGGTCCAAACTGACTTTTGCACGGCACCCTACTAACTGGTCCCCAACCGTGTACCAAATTTGAGCGCAATCGGCCCAGCCGTTCTCGAGATCTGGGAGCGCCCCCTGCACGTGCGCACGTGCTGTAGCACCCCAACCTTAACACATGCAGATGAATTATCTGATGGAGACCTAACTGTGTACCGAGTTTCAATTCAATCGGCCCAACCGTTGTGCCGTTATTGAGGTTGCAATTTTGGGGGTTCTTAAAAATGTCCAACTTTACCACGCGCCACGTGCAGTGGTTGGCAAGAACGCATGGTGGCCATCACACCACAGAACTTTTACGTCCAAGTGACATTCAGTAAAGAAGACCGCTTGTCAATCGGATGTCCCGTTCCTAAGATATTAGCTTTTGAAGAGCGTCCCCACGGCCGGCCGGCCGGCCGGCCGCTCATACTCAGAATTTTCCCTGAACTCCGTAATGAGACTCCGCTCGCTTCGCTCGCTCCGTAATTAGCAATTACATATAAATACGCGGACCGGTTTCGTCTATGAAAGACTTCTTCAGCGCTTTTTTCAAAAACGTATAACAAGAAAACTAGCACAGTGACAATCGTTTGAAATAAAATCGGATTCAGTTAGAAAATAATAAGCATTGCTGAGAAGGGCACCTACTACCTAAAAACTCACAATCATCATCATATTTCGGTGATTATGCTCCTACACCAAATATCAACGTTCGATACATCAGTAAATGCCTAAAAGTTAAACATGCTTGACGGTGTATAGAAATCTATTTCATTTCTCCTCTCTCCTCTCTCTCTCTCTCTCTCTCTCTCTCTCTCTCTCCTCTCTCCTTCTCTCTCTCTCTCTCTCTCTCTCTCTCTTCTCTCCTCTTTCTCTCTCTCTCTCATTTTCAGC